TTGGGCTGACGACCAGGCTACGCAGCGGTCGTCACAGGGTTACACCTTCAGCCTTGGTTCCGGCTCTGTTTCGTGGCGGGCTACTCGCTCGTCTTCTGTTTTCGGCTCCAGTTGTGAGGCTGAGATCTACGCCGGGGCCATGGCTGCTCAGGAGCTTCGCTGTCTCACCTACCTTCTGACTGACCTTGGAGAGCCGCCTCGTTCTCCTCTAGTCCTGTACGTAGACAACAAGGCCATGCTGGCCTTGTGTCGAGAGCAGCGACTGGAGCACAGAACAAATCACATTGCTCTTCGCTACTTCCTTACTCGTGAGCTACAGTAGCGTGGTCAGTTGCGGCTTGCGTACGTGGCCTCTGAGGCCAACACTGCTGATGTTTTCACCAAGGCGCTTGCGCCTTGTGATCATCAACGTTTCTGTACTCAGCTTGGTCTTGTGCCTGTCTTGCCTCACTTACTCACTTCTTGACCTTGCTTGTACTGTCACATATATATACTCTTGCTCTTGCTTGCTTAGCCTCTTATATATATATGTGCTCCTGCATGTGAACTGGCCTTCTGGCCTTGAACTTGTGCTCGGAATGTGTGGTGACTTTGTGATCCACCCTGAGCTTTGCTTTCCTTTGCTTGACTGGTCTTGTGACCCCTTGTTCTTCCCCACTTTGCCTATGGGGGTGTGTCAAATTATAATCTTGTGTAGGCTATAGTGGGGTAGCTCATATGGGCTACACATTTCTAGGGTTGCATATTTGTATCACTTCCATTTCCATAGTCATTCATTCTCGTTCTACTTTCCTCACATACGGTAGAAGATTATATATGAATACAGGGAATATGAAAAGACACTACTTTACTGTTGCTGTTGTTGTTCGATACAGTGTCGACTCGGGCAACTGCTCTGTAACGAGTCAGTTGTGTGTCCTTGCCGTCGCGCTGTACTTGTCAGGTCAAAGGTCGGTGACCTTTGACTTTCACGTAACTTCCGACAGTTACTTCAACCTCCGAGGGTTGACTTGCTGGTGCTTCGATAGTGTTTTGCTTCTCTTGTGTCTTGGTGTTTCGACACGACAGAGGCGTTTAGAGTTAATTGTTTCCAACATAAAGCACCTGAATAGATGTTCTCAGCTATTTTGAAAGCTTTCTTAGTCCTCTTGCAAAGGCAGCATGCTTCATTCCAGATGGTGGTACGAGGCCCTCAGGTTCGAACCCTGATGGGTTAGGGTTGTTCCGAGAAAAAATGGTGATTGATCATGTTCCTTAGTAAAAAAAACGTCTCAAAGATCAGTGTTTAAAAAAAAAAAGGCTGATTGTTGAGTGTCCATATATCGTCGTACAGAAAAGGCATGATTTGAGTAAGAAGCCAGAAATTTAGGGCCAAAATCAGATACAGCATTTGTGGGCCTTGCAAACGTAAATCAGGTCATGCATCATAACTAGAATCAGAGTCACTGCAACAGCCATTATCTAGCTGCCTATCCAAACCCACTGCTTCCCACTCCTCCTTAGCTTCCTCCTTCCCCTTGCCATTGCCCTGCCCCTGTCTTGCTGGTGTTGCTGCAACGTTGCCAAAAGGCGGCGCCTGCGCCAGATCTGCACAATCTCGGCATAGTATGGCTCGTACAGTAGTTGAGGAGAGACACGGAGAGGAGATCTTCCTGGCGGGCATCCTTGAGACTCCCCCGCCGCCACGACTTTGATGATGTTTTGGCGTGAAAAGTCGCGTTTACACTCCACCGTACTCAACAGCAGTATGGCGACTGCCACCCACAACCGGACCAGGTTGGGGTAGCTTACCATCCACTCACTTGTCTTCAGCATTGCCGTGAGCCCTGCATGGAAAGAACGCTCGTTCTTGGGAGCACCTGCAAGGATGGGACAGAATGTTCTGAGCTCCTTGATCGCCCGACGCTTGTCGATCCCTGCCAGACAAGATAGAAGGAGGTAAATATGTGCATTAGATCGCTATACAATACCTTGTGTATATGATATTGAATACAACAAGAAAGGCAGATAGGGAAAGACATATATGTCATCAACGAGCATACCTGGCAGGATGCACTCCGTCTCATGTGCTCTGAACAGGTTGAACATTGACGTGAGCCACTCGAGGCACTGGTTCTTGTGCTCCACCCTCCCTTACGGCCACTCGTATGGAGTGAAGAGTCTCACTCCAAACAACGTATGCAAATCCTGGAATCGTTTGTTGAGGTTGCGCAAGAGGATCTCGGCGAAAGCGGCGCAGAGGTCCAAGCAGGCGTCGTGGCTTCCCACAGCGGGGAAGTCCTCGCTGGGGCTCTCGTGAAGGGTGAACTTGTGTGTTGTTGTCCAGCCGTCTGAGTCCACTCCCGGCATTGTCACATTGGGGCAACCACCTTAAGGGCTGATTCATGATGCTGTCCGGCCGTCTAAGTCCACTCCCTGCACTGTCACGCTGGGGCAACCACCTTAAGGGCTGATTCATGACGAACGGAGACAGGCACGCGCTCATCCCACCTCCAGAGCCGTCTCCACAATTCACGTACCGAGTTTCTAGGTAGGTTGTTGTTCTCCGAATCTGAGCATGGACGACAGCTGGTAAGGGCAAAGACAAGGAATGAAGCGGGGAACAATCCAGACTTAGGTATCAGTATGCAAAGAGACAAGTAAAAAAGTTAAAACAATACTTAGGTATGAGCATACACAAAGACAAACGGATGTTGTGTACCGTATAGTGCCGGGTAAAGGACCTGCCGGTAAGAAGGTCCCCCAGGACTCTTGAATGGGTAGGGGAACTCTTATTGTGGCAGGTTTTGTGAAGACCCCCTTTTTTGCCCCTAATCATCATAAGACCCCCTTTTCTGTATACAGTAGTTGTTATTGCTATCATGAGTCAGCTTTTACTAGCATAGATTCGGATTCTAACACACTTGCTGTATCGCACTCGAATCCTAACACGTTATTTGTATCAGCCTCACACAGATCTGACGCGCATCTTGCGCGGAATTTGCACAGAAAGGCTGTTTTTCGTTTCGAATATAAGACCACCCACTTCCCCCCCCCCCCCCCCCCCCCTCCCCCCCCCCCCCCCCCCCCCCCCCGCGCCCCAAATTGATAGCCGTACACCCACCCTAAGTGTAGTTTGCCAGAATAAAGAACAGGGATGAATCAACTAGCAGCAGGATGGGTACAAGTAGCAAAAACTAGTTTGGGTTGTACCCCTTATAGGCTACCCCACTACAGCCTAGACAATAAGCAGTATATGTGTTTGACACACCCCCATAGGCAAAGTGGGAGAGAACAAGAGGTTACAAGACCAGTCAAAAGAGGCAAAGCAAGCTCAGGGTGGATCACGAAGTCACCACACATTCTGAGCACAAGCAAATGGCCACAAAGCCAGTTCACATGCAGAGTTATATATAAAGGAGAATAAGCAGTACAGTTATTACAACATAGCAAGTGTAAGCATGCAAATATAAGTATATAGATCACAGTACAAGCAAAGTCAAGACGTGAGCAAGTGAGGGCAAGTAGGCACAAGGCCTAGAATATTACAGAAACGCTGATGATCACAAGGCGGAAGTGCCTTGGTGACCACGCTGCTGCAACTCTCGAGCAAGGAAGTAGCGCAGAGCGATGTGCATCGTTCTGTGCTCCAGTCTCTGCTCTTGACACAAGGCAATCATGGCCTTATTGTCGACGTACAGAACTGGAGGAGAACGAGGCGGCTCTCCCAGGTCGGTCAGCAGGTAGGTGAGCCAGCATAACTCCTGTGCAGCCATGGCCCTTGCGTAGATCTCAGCCTCACAACTGGAGCTGGGAACAGAAGACGAGCAGGTAGACCGCCATGAAACACAACTGGAGCTAAGGCTGAAAGTGTAACCCTGTGACGACCACTGCGTAGCCAAGTCGTCAACCCAAGAAGCGTCTGCGTGACCAGTGAGGACAACTGGACCCCGTCCTCCAAGCACAAGCCCCATGCCCAACGTACTGCACAAGTAGCGCATCAGCCTCTTAGCGGCCTTCCAGTGCTCTGGTCGGTGTCTCCCAGGCGCAACGTAGCGTGCCAGGATGCTAAGAGGGTAAGCAAGGTCAGGTCGAGTGTAGGTCATCAGGTACCTGAGGCAGCCCACAAGTAGTGGATACAGGCCACTCGGCTCTACGAACTCATCCGAAGGCAGAGCTGAGAGCGAGTGGAATCTAGGCAGAGGAGTGGACTGTGGCGAGAAGTAATGGAAGTCAAAGCGCTGAAGGACCTGCTGCACCATATGTGACTGAGTCAGGGTAATGGTGCGCCGTACTCTGTCCCAGGTGATCAGCAAGCCAAGATAGCTGCGCAGTTCACCCAAGCGTGTGCACGTGTGTTTTTTTGCAGCTCCGACTTCACGTGGGCCAGTCCAGCAGTGTCAGCAGTGGCAAAGACCACGTCGTCGACATACACGAGGACGTAGAACGGCGGCAGCGAAGTGTCGGTGCGTAGAAACAGCGACGGGTCAGCAGTAGAAGGAGCAAACCCAAGAGCCGCAAGAGTCGTCCTCAGTGTGTCGTGCCACTCGCGAGGCGCCTGGCGGAGACCGTAGACTGGCCGCCAGAGGCTCCAGTAGGTACGAGGAGGGAACGATCAAGTGAAGCCAGGTGGGCGGCGCAGCCAGATCTCCTCGTGCAGGCTGCCCTGTGGGGAAGCAGTGCTCAAGTCAAGAGAGTGAATCTCGTAGTCACGCTGAGCGGCAACGTGCAGCAGCACCCGAAGAGTGGTCATCGTCGACGTAAGTGCTTGTGGATTTCCAGGATGCCATCTCTACGTCCATGGCTGACTGCCACTGAGAGGCGTAGGGACCCTCTATCGCCTCTGCATAATAGCGCGGGGTCGGGATGTCTGGTGCATCCGGATCTCCCTCAGGTGCAATCAGCATGGACACGAGATGAGGTACAGCAGCTGCAAAGAACTCAAAGTCCTCATGCCTATCGTCAAGGACGTCCGTGCCAAGATCACACCCACCCTTGACGGACGGAGGACAGACAGAATCTCACTCAGCAACAAGAATGGCGGCGTAGTCGAGACGACAGCGAGCAGCAAAGTCAACAAGCTCAACAGCTAATGTAGACGCAGCAGTGGACTCAAAGGAAGGGTCAGCGACAACAGTAGCTGGCAGACACGTGACGGTAGGGCTAGCACTACGAAGTGAGTCAGACTCAAGGTCTGGACCGTCAGCAAGGGAGGACGTAGGAGGAGACGGCAGAGGGACACGCAGTGGAATAGAGGAAGGACGAAGTGCCATCTGGTGCGTGCAGGGGATAGGAGGAGGACGCGGACGCGGAACACGACTACTAGTGCGACGCGCGCAAACAGGCGAGGCAGGACGAGACGCAGGCTCATGACGCTCAATAAGACCTCCGGGCTGCTTAGTGTAAGGAGAAGGAGCAGGCAGCGGGGAGGTTGGTAGTAGCTGTGGCTGGGACAGGTCAGGCGGTGGGCACAGGAAGGGAGGAGCAAGGTCAGCAGACGACGGGAGACCAAGAACCTGCTGAAGCAGTGGAAAGAAGTATGGTCGCGGCCGCACAGCACCTCCAGCACCAGCACCGACAGCACCAGTATCTCCAGCAGCTCCAGCTCTAGCAGCAACTCCAGCTCCAGCTCTAGAAGCACCTCCAGCTCCAGCACCTCCAGTACCTCGAGCAGCTCCAGCTCCAGCAGCACCTCCAGCAGCTCCAGCTCCAGCAGCACCTCCAGCTCTAGTAGCTCCAGTACCTCCAACAGGTCCAGCTCCAGCAACACCTTCAGCTCCAGCAGCTCCAGTACCTCCAGCAGCTCCAGCTCCAGCAGCACCTCCAGTGGCTCAAGCACTAGCAGGACCTCCTGCTCCAGCAGCTCCAACACCTCCAGTAGCTCCAGCAGTACCTCCAGCTCCAACAGCTCAAGTACCTCCAGTACGAGTGCCTCCGGGGCTAGCGGCTCCAGCACTTCTAGCAGCTCTGTCTCTAGCAGCACCACTCCGAAGGCTCCAGCACCGAGCAAACCACTCGCGCAGCTGCAGTGGAGAGAGAGACTCCGGCCGTGACAAGACACACGAAGGGCCTCCAGGCTCAGCACACTCAGGCTCAGAAACCCCAGGCTCAGCACCTCGAGGCTCCGCACGCTCAGGCTCAAGACCCCCAAGCTCCGCACCCGCAGGCTCAGCATCCCCAGGCTCCGCACCCTCAGACTCAGCAACCCCAGGCTCAGCACCCCCAAGCTCCGCACGCTCAAGCTCAGCACCCCCTGGCTCTGCACACTCACGCCCAGCAACCCCAGGCCCCGCACCCGCAGGCTCAGCACCCCCAAGCACAACACCTCTAGCAGCACCAGAGTCGACAGTGACCTCGACCGGCTCAACAGAGTCTACCTGGGACACACATGAGGGAGCAGGACCCTGAGGGGGAAGGGGATCTACCGGAGGAGGACGTGGTGCGAGGAAGAGCGGCGGGGGAGGGAGAGGGGCAGTACAGTAGGGGAAGAGACGATAAAAGGGAACCAGCTCGTCAAACGTGACGTCCTGAGAGGGTAGGACACGGCGCGAGGTGGGGTGGTATAACTGCCAGCCAGGCGCCTCAGGGGGGAAGCCAAGGAAGACACAGGGAACGGCGCGGGAGGAGGTATCGCAGACAAAGGCTTGACATCCCCGGACCCGAAACACCGACGCATCGCCAACCTCCCCCGTCCAATGCAGTGTGGGCGAGGTAGACACGGGGCCAGAGGTTGAGCTGATGCTCGGCATACTGGACTGCAAACGACCACAGAAAATGAGGGGCAGCTGCATGGATCATGGAGGTACGAGCGACCTCCATGACTAAGCCAATGCGGTGCTCAGCAACCCCATTCTGCTGCGGAGAGGCTGGAAGCGTGAACGTTTGGCGAATGCCCCCCGCACGACAGAAGGCCCGCAAGAGGTCGGAGGAAAACTCACCACCTCTGTCAGAGTGCAGATGCAGAACTGTAAGGTCCGTCTCGAACCGCTCGCGGAGCTGGAGACAAACAGCATGGATCCAAGGGATCAGAACATCAGGGACCTCCCCCTTGTGGCGCAAGGGGAAGACCGTGGTGTAATGCGAGTAGTCGTCGACAACCAGCAGAAAGTACCGCTCGTGGCCCTATCCATGGACGTGGGCTGGGCCCCACATGTCCAGGTGGAGAGTCTGCAGGAGAGCCTCTGTTGGGGGGAACGAGGAGGAGAGAGGAGCGGCGCGCTGCCGCCCCTCGACACAGGGAAGGCAGGGAGGGGCAGGCAAGGGCGGGGGGGGAGGCAGCGACCTGGGAAGACCAGAGACAAGGAGACGGGAGTACATGCCATGGAGGCGTGCCACAGAGGGGTGACCAAGACGGTGGTGCCAAAGGAGCGTCTAGTGCGACAGGGCACGACACGTGCACGGGGCAGCAAGCTGACTTGACGCAAACGCAGCTACATGAGGAGGCGCAGTAGTCAGTGTGTACAGACTCGACCCAGGCCAACGGGTGAACGTGGCTAGGTGGCGACCGTCCGGGAGCAAGTACAGATCGCCACACGCTGCGGTCCAATGGTGAAGGTGTCAACCCCCGCATCCTGGAGGATAGCAGTGCTCACATATTTCGTAGAGAACGAGGGTAGGTGGAGACCTCATAGTGACCCAGACGGAACAGCCGGACAAGGCAGAACAGTGGAGGAACGTGCAAGGACTGGGCCCCCAGAGGGGTCAGCCAAAGAGACAGCAACAGGTGCAGAGAGCGGCGTGACTATGGTACTGTCTCGAAAGAAACAGCGGAAAGCACCCGAGTCAAGCGTGAAGGTGTGCAGGGCCGCAGCACCAGAGAGAGCAGACTCACCAGCACCTAGGGCAGCAGACTCACTAGCACCTAGAGCAGTAGCCTCTATACCTGGGTCTGGCGGCATACATAGGTAACAGTCACCCTCAGCACTAACAGACAATGCATACATGGCAGATAGGATAGCATCAAAGTCTAGAGCAAAGATATCAACATTCTGCTTAATCAGCTCCGCCCAGTCGGGGAGCTCAGGCGCACTCTGCGTGAAAGGCGTCGGTAAGGCGGTAGAAGCAGCGGTGCTGAGTGTGAGGCCTCCCGCATGTCCGACCAGCGCGGTCACCTGTGCGAATGACATACGGGCAGGAACCCCTACCCCCAACCGCCCCATGCTGAGCAAACCACTCACGGAGCTCCTGAGACGAAAGGGGCTGACGCTGATGCTGCCTCTGGCCACCTCCAAGGCCTCCCCTCTGGCTGGTACCACCCCTGCCGCCACCACTGCCTCCACCTCCACCCCCACTGCCGCCACCACCGCCGCCACCACCGCTGCCTCCACCACTCCCACTGCTGCCGCCACCTGCCCCTCCGCCCCCACCACCACTACCTCCTCCGCCGCCGCCCCCTCCACCGCCTCCACCGCCCCCACCACCGCCTCCACCTCTACCAACCCCACCGCTCCTGCCTCCCCTGCCCCTGCCGCTGCAGCACCTCCCACTAGGGGTAGACGCAGCTCCCACCACCTCAGCACGAAGTTAGTCAACAGCTGCAGCAGAGGCGACTGGGGGGAGAAGGGGGGAGGGCGAACACCCCTCAAAGAAGGGGGTGCGAGGAGTGCCACAAGAAGCGCCTACAGCGACTATGCTAGTCTCAGCTGCTAGGAGGTGCTTCTCGAGCAGGTCGACAGTGAGGTCAGTGGGGTCAAGTGCTAGGAGGAGGTCCCTAACTGCAGTAAGAGAGTTTGGGAGGCGGGTGTTTATGAAGTAGAGCGTGATGTACATGGGGGGGGGGGGGTTCTTGGCGTGAAACTCGGCGGGGAGCGCAACATGGTAGCGAGTATCACTAGTGCGGAGGTGAGTGACTAGGTCGGCTACTGTGGCAAAGGCAGACAGGTCTGGGAACAGGTAGGGCAGGAGAAGGTGGCCTAGAGCAGCAGTGGCAGAGGAGGAGTAACGAGCGACTACAGCGTCGTACAGTGCTTTAGCTGTCTTATGCTGGCCAAAGTGGGCGCGTTCGGCTAAGTGTAGGTGGTTGCGAACGGCTAGGCGAGCAGTAGCGTCAGAGGTAAGCCACTGTGAGCGGGTCGCACTGTCAGCTGTGGCGTCAGGGGCGGGCGAGGCGCCAGAAGTGAGGTCAAACAGCGAGGTACCGTCCTTATAGTCTGTCAGCAAGAATAGCTGTAAGTCGCCTTGCCACGCATTGAACTCTATCGGGTGGCCCTCCGAATCGAAGGTGAGAACGTTGAGAGTGGCCATAGCGAGCGTAGCAGCCGAGCGTGCTAGCAGTACGCAAGCAGGGCTAGGCAGGAGAGCGCGCTAGCAGCAGTGCAGCAGAGAGCGGCGCGTGGCGCGCACGGCAGGTAGGGCACACGTGGCAGGGCAAGGCACGCACGGTAGGGCAGAGCAGAGGCGCGCGGCGGCGCGGCGCGTGGGCAGGGCAGAGGCACGCGGCGCGGCGCGCAAGTAGGGCAGGCACGGCGACGCGACGCGCGGGCAGGGCAGGGCGCACTGTAGCACGCGGCGCGCAACTCAGCAGGGCGTGGTGCAGCAGGCGGCGCGCGAGCAAAGCAGGGCAGGGCAGGGCAACGTGATCACAATGGCGCGACGGGTGGGGTAGTGCTACTCGGTGGGCCCTAAGATATCGGTCCTAGGCTAGGATCTGCTCTGAAACCATGTCAGAATAAAGAACAGGGATGAATCAACTAGTAGCAGGATGGGTACAAGTAGCAAACCCTAATTTGGGCTGTACCCCATATGGGCTACCCCACTACAGCCTACACAATAAGCAACACATATGTTTGATATTGTCTGGGTCTTCAAAAATTCCTGCCACCATAATATCCACCCATGCATATTTTAAGCATTTGTAGAGAGTCCCCGGGGTCTTATCGCCGGCACTATACGTTATCCCTTGGAGCTCCAGGTTGGTTGCCGTGAACACTTCCTGCAGTGCGAGAAATCTCTGGTGCCATGGGGTTGAGCGGCCGAGATGCTCGGCAAGACAACGGATGAGGTAGTCGACCATGTCGAACTCAGGCAGAGCCTCTGCAACATCCTTTGCTGCGAGCACATCCTTGCATGAACAACACAAACAAGAACCATTAACAATAATGAAAGAAGCATAGGGTTAACATGTTAGAGCAGGACAAGCAGCCACGGTCTTACCTGTGGGCGATGCAATGCATTGAGACGAGATGCGGCATGCGCAGATGCGATCGCATGACAAGGCCATTCCTGATTCCCATCATGACCCCTACGCCATCAGTGTTGATCCCGGCGATCCTGCCAAGCTCAATGCCCATTGCTTGCAGGTGCAATAGAAACAATAAGAGAAAAGAAACAGCATTGCACCTGTCCACAGTTAGTAGGGCAAGGAACTCGGTCACGAGCTGCTTGTATCAGATGAAGGTAACATAGATGATCATGTGCTTTCTCCGACACATATCTGTGCTCTCGTTGCAGGTAACAGTGATGTAAGGGCTTTAGAGGATCTACTGGGGCTGCGTAGTGTGCAACCACGTAGCCATGGACTACGTGAGTTGCCCGAACCCGTATCTATAATGCAACTGAAACACGACAAGGTTAAAACGCGAAAACGACACACATCAAATTGTTGAAGACGATATAACGCCGGGATACTCACGTGGTATGGAAGGTGCCATAATCTTTTGCCGGAAATCAAGCCACCTTCTTCGACGCAAGATAGCGAACGAGTCGCACCCACATCTCTATGGTTGTGTCGCACCCGGTGACAAAGAGGAGAGAGTCAAGCAGCAAGATGCCTTGTTCCTTCTCGATGTTTCACACCAGGTTGTCGCCGATGATCCTGGGTTGCTTACTGACAGCAGCGAGTAGGTCGTCATGCTTTCTGATCGCCACCTTGTGCTTTTTTGTACCTCAGTAGCGCCTCCCGCACCGTCTAGCATAGCCAGCATGTTCTGAATAGATGCAACATTTGAAAGCAGGGAGATCGTCGTTAGTTTTCAATAATAGAAGCCACGAAAATCAGTCCAACCATTTGGTTCTGTGTTTTTCTAGAGCCTCAGCGTAAATTGCATTGTGAAGAGACTGTTTCGACGGCCCAGGTGTAGAAGGCGATTGCTGCGTGTCGGCAGTGGCGCAGCGAAGGTTGGTCGGCTAGAGAAGGCGCCATAGGTCCTTCGTTAGAGGCCCTTGAGCGAAATGGGAGAGTTGCATGCGTGAATCGACCGCTATTCTTCGGCAGGGGTTCTGGCATAGGTTGTTGATCAGGAGGCAATGTCTTGCTCAATGTTTGGCGATGTGGGGGACACATCGAAACCACCAAAATCGATGGGTTTGAATGGAATATTTTTAGGCAACGCGCCATTTGTGGGCGTTCACGGTTGTTGATTTGGGCTAGGGGCGAAAAAGGTTTGCGCCTGATGAGAGAGTACATGAGACAACCCAACAACTCAGGATATGGACCACTGGAATCAAATGGCTCATCCGAAGGTGGAGCCGTGTGCCCATGATACACAGCAAGAGGGGTGAGCTGTACCTTGGAGAACGGGAAGCGAAACAGCGTGAGGATCTGCTCGACCATATGTGAACACGTCAGCGTAATGGGGCGAGCTACTCTGTCTCTGGTGATCTACAAGCCAAGGTAGAATTGTACCTCACCAAGGTCAGTGCAAGTGTGTCTCCTCCGCAGTTCCTCCTTCACGGAGGCCAGCGTGCGTCAGTCGAGAGGAGCAATATCCAGGTCATCAACGTAAACCAAAACAAAGAATGGGTGGAGCCACGACGGATGAAGAATGAAGGGTTCCCAGACGACGGAAAGAAGTCAAGCACTGCAAGAGTCGCGCGAAGTGTGTCGTGCCACTCATGGGGAGCCTGGCGCAGGCCGTAGACCGGTTGATGCACATGCCACTAGGTCCCATGAGGGAAAGAGCTAGTGAAGCCAGGCAGGCGACGTAGCCAGATCTCCTCATCCAGGCTCCCCTGAAGGAACGCTGTGGAGAAGTCCAAGGAGTGTAACTCGTAGCCACGCTGGGCTGGAATATGCAGCAACATCTGAAGAGTGGTCATCTTTAAAGTGGGAGCAAAGGTCTGAAAGAATTCTATCCTTCTGTTGGTGGAACCCTACGGTTTGCACTCGGCTTGTTGTCCGTGTGCGTGCATGCGTGTGTGCATGGAATGGTATGAGGGCATGAGATGATATATATTTCATGCTTATAATAGTGTGTGTATGATGGGTCATGATGTCGAGTGTGTGTGTGTCGAGTCAATCGCGAGTTATCGCTAGTCGCATGTTACGCGATCATTTTGTGTGTCCCACGCGGTTTCTATATTGCCGTGCGCGATTTCTATTTTGTCGCTTGTGGAACGTTCGGCGTGTCGCAGGTGTGTGCAGTAGACCCATCAAGAACTCAAGGATGAGTTTGTGATGAAGAACCCGAGCCCTGGTGTCAACATTCAAGTGATCGCGAAGCTCGCCAAAAGGGTACACCTCAAGAAATTGAAGATAGTGAACAGATAGTTACATTACTTTGTGTAGTGTAACATATCACTTGGTGTAGGCCCTAGTGAAGGGTAGTTTCGAGACCCTTCGTGGTTGGGGATAGTGTGGCACTGTTCCACATCACTGTACCTTGGCTCTTGGGGTTTGTAGGAACTGGGAGTCATTCCCAACTCGTAACTCTTCCTAACTCTTCCTATTGTGTGTTCTAAGACTATAGTGGCTGCCATAGTGCCGTTCGTTCAAACCGACGTTGTGTCTCCAATACTTGGTCAAATCGTGCGATCTAAACTGCCTATTGTAGGCAACGTTAAGACGCTCCAGATCCAAGTTGAATCAGATCATTTGAAGCAGTGAACAGAACGCTATGAACGTTTAAAGCCGCTGTGTCGAAATCCGACTGTGCACTCTATTCTTCGTTTTAGGCACATT